AGATCGTGGACGAGGTCCACGATGTCCGCACTAGCCCAGGAAGGTGCCCGCCTCTTGCGGTCCAGGGCAAGCTCCCGGGAGCCGCCAGCCTGGTCCCGGCAAGAGGGGGTGGGCTGGGGGGCATCGGGTGGGTGGCTCTGTGCCGTGCCAGGTGCAGGGTCTGCCAGCTGGGTGCTGGCAGGCTTGCACCTGGCACGGGCACCGTAGCCAGCCCGTGCCCCTTTAAGGGGTCCGGGGCCGGGAGGGGGGCATAGAGTTTCCCTGGTGTTGGCCAGAGTGGCCACCAGGGAAACCTGGGAAGCCTTAGCCTCCCCCTAGTTCGAACTAAAGGGCTACACAGCCCTTAGTTCGAACTAGCTAGTTCGAACTAGGCGTTAGTCCTCGTAAAATGAGGTTTACCTAGTTCGAACTAAGCGCTCCGCTAGTTCGATTCAAATTCGAACTAGCGGAGCGCTAGTGTAGCACCTATTAAAGTTAGTTCGAACTAACGTCCGTTAGTTCGAACTAACTTTGTAGTGTAGACATACCCTCAGAGAGTAGTTATTAAAGGTTCTCAATCCTGCTGGAAAGGCATAACAAGTGGGGTTCCACAGGGGTCTGTTTTGGGACTGGCTCTGTTCAATATCTTCATCAACGATTTAGATATTGGCATTGAAAGTACGCTTATTAAGTTTGGAGATGATACCAAGCTGGGAGGGGCTGCAACTGCTTTGGAAGATAGGGTCATAATTCAAAATGATCTGGACAAATTGGAGAAATGGTCTGAGGGAAACAGGATGAAGTTTAATAAAGACAAATGCAAAGTGCTCCACTCAGGAAGGAACAGTCAGTTTCACACATACAGAATGGGAAGCGACTGTCTAGGAAGGAGTATGGCAGAAAGGGATAGAGGGGTTATAGTGGACCACAAGCTAAATATGAGTCAACGGTGTGATGCTGTTGCAAAAAACGCAAACACGATTCTGAGATGCATTAACAAGTGTGTTGTGAGCAAGACATGAGAAGTCATTCTTCTGCTCTGCTCTGTGCTGGTTAGACCTCAGTTGGAGTATTGTGTCTAGTTCTGGGCACCGCATTTCAAGAAAGATGTGGAAAAATTTGAGAGGGTCTGGGGAAGAGAAACAAGAATGATTAAAGGTCTAGAGAACATGACCTATGAAGAAAGGCTGAAGGCATTGGGTTTGTTTAGTTTAGAAAAGAGAAGATTGAGGGGGGACATGATAGCAGTTTTCCGGTATCTAAAGGGTGTCATAAGGAGGAGGGAGAAAACTTGATCATTTTGGCCTCTGAGGATACAACAAGAAGCAATGGGCTTAAACTGCAGCAAGGGAGGTTTAGTTTGGATGTTAGGAAAAAGTTCCTAACTGTCAGGGTGGCCCAAGCCGTTTTTGTTCTAGCAGGGTCATCCAGCTATACTTCCTGCTACTCTTTGCTCACAGGCAACCTCTCTGGCTGTTCTCCTTTCTGGGCACTCAGGATAACAAGTCTGTCTTTCTACCCAGCTTGGGTAGAAGTTCTCCTTTGACAAGCTCCTCCACCAAGATTAATTTGCCTTCCTGAACAGGACTGCTTGAGCCCCAAACAGCTCTTTAATTGCTTATTGCTTGCTGTGCATTTTGTACATCCTATTGCAAATCCTATGTACTTTTTGTGAAGGGAGGCAGTACATCATGGTAATCCCTGAGCCTGATGCACCTTGGGATATGTAGCCCAGTAATGGAGCACAGCTCCAAAAGAATAAAATTATGAAGCAATGACCAAAGCTAAATATTTTCTTTTTTGTTCATTCAGTTTTTCAATGGAAAACTGTTAGGGGACGTCTACACTGCAACGTTAATTCGAACTAACTTAGTTCGAATTAGTTAATTCGAACTAAGCTAATTCGAACTAACGGATCCAGACTAAAAAACTAGTTCGAATTAGCAAAATGCTAATTAGAACTAGCATGTCCACATTAAGTGGACCCTGAACCAGGCTTAAGGATGGCCGGAAGCAGTGCCGACAGGGCATCAGAGGAGGACTTAGAGCATGGAGATGCTGTCTCAGGCTAGCTGAGGGCTGTGCTTAAAGGGTCCCGACCCCCACCCCAGACAGACAGTTCTCAGGGGTGCCCTGCTTGCAAAGCAGTCCTGGCTTGGAGTGCCCGGAGTACCCACACTGGGCACATCACACCACTCGGCCATCAGACTGGCTGCACTTGCCGCAGGCTGCCATCTGGGAAGAGGGGGCAATTGGGGGGCTGCAGGAGAGCTTCCACCC